GAAAGCTCCTTAGAACTAATAGTTTTCAAAGAAAAAAACAACTTGCCTATGCTTATTACTTAGATAAATTATTAGAAGAATACCCAGAAGAATGAAGAATAAGTAGAAGAAAAATTTCTATCTATTATTATAGAGTTTCAATTAGAACCTAAATATTTTTCATGATCTTGGAATTAAACAAATTTTTAGAACCAATATGACTACCCTCTCAATAATTAATAGTCTCTCAAGTTCTGACTACCATGTTTTATTTTAATTTCATAAAGCTCAAAACTAAGTAAAGGAGAATGTTAATATTAAGAGTTTTATACATTTTTGACCATAACTTTTAATGTACTAAACCAATTTGGATAAAACAACTACCATTGAATTCAGCTTACTGAGACAGTTCTAACAAGCACATGTTTATATGATTTTGATCATAGAATTACAAGATTAGAATAATTTTAATAAAAGCATTAATTTTAGTACATGTGACTTGATTCTGATTGGCTCCTATTATTGTGCTAGAAATCTAGCATTTCTATCATTTCTAGTAGATCTATTATTTCTATTATTTCTATTATTTCTACCAGATCTATTAGTTCTATCATATTTATTATTTCTATTATATCTATTATATCTATTATATATATTATATCTATTATATATTATTAGTTCCTATATATCTTAATATTACTATAAATAGCATTTTATTAGCAATAAAGTAGTCTTTATTGTAATAATTTATATATATAAAATATCTATAAAAACACTGCTTTCTGACTCTTTAAGAAAGTTAAATGTCTTTATATATTTCAATAGTAAATAACTGAATGCAATATTTAGTATCTTTATATACTATCTATTGTTGCCTTTATTTTAAAATCCCAAATCACTCTGTATTTTGTTAAGTCTTGTGTAGACTTTAGTATAGAATCTGTCAAGTTATAGTCATTATACTATAGTTGAGCAGATTCTGTTATTACTGTAGATAAAAGAAAAACTACAGATTAACATTACTCTAAAATAAATAAAAATAAAGTTTATAATTAATAAAGTTCTAATTGTAATAAATAATTAAATAAATAAAAAACTCTATACTTCTTTAACTTATTCTATATAACATCTGCATCCCTTGTGACATTCTCAAGGCTGCTTCAGACCAGTGCCAAATTGAATCAGCCTAACCTACCTTTGACCAGTACCAAATTGAATTTGCCTTACCTGCCTTGAGTAATATTGCATGATATTGATATTTCTAAAGCAACAATTTGTCACATTCCTTTTTGTTTTAATTGTGCTGTTCTAGACACTGTGTCCTGTATCAGTAGATAGTATTTTTACTTACCTATTATTGCATGATTCAGCATGATTTAATTTAATTTTTCTGTAATAGCTATATAAATATTTGTACAATGTTGATCTCAGAATTTATATCACTTGATCTGTAGATAAGCCTCAATTTGATTAGCCAAAAGCAAAGATTAGCAAATTTACTTATTAAATAAAAAATGTTCCTGTGCTAATTTTACTATTGAACAGACTTAAACATTAAATTTTTCTTTTTTTTGTATTAGCTACAGCAGAGTAAGTCTTAGATGATTGAATTGTGAAAACTTGATTATTCTAATGAAACAAAACAAGCAAAAAAAGTTTCATTATGTATATATAATCTTAAATTTTAAATTATCATTATCTCATATCATTATTTATTAGATATATTTTAAATACTTAAAAATTTTATACATATGCACTAAATTAATACAAATCAAATATTATTTAAGTAATAAAAATTTATAAAATCAATATTTAGCTTGTTTTAAATTTTAAAAATTTTTATAGCAGATTTAGAATTTTATATAAACTAGCATTTTAAAATGGATTTTATTATATAAATACCTCTAACTCTAATTTAACTACTAATTTAACTACTAATTTAACTATAAATTTAATCACTAATTTAACTACTAATTTAACTACTAATTTAATTATTAATTTAAATACTAATTTAACAACTAATTTAAACACTAATTTAACTACTAATTTAATTACTAATTTAACTAGGAAATTTCAAATCTATTTAAATTTCATTTCTATTTACAGTATATATTTTAATTGGCAATTTATAAGTTAATCAGTAATTTAAATTAGTAACACAATTAGATGATCACTATATAATTATTTCATGATTATCAAAATTTTTTAATATTAAATTAGTTCAAACTAACATGTGATTTAAATAAAAATTTGTTTAATAATATGCAAAAACTAAATATATTAACTTTATTTAAAAAAAAAGTTTCAAATTTTTAGTAAAAGACTTTATTATATTAGACATAGAGATTTTATAGGTCATGTATATAGTAAGATTTCAGACATTATATTATTACTATTATTTTTTTTTGTCATTTTACTACATTCTCATAATTATTGTTATAAATAACTCTTTTACCTTTTTTATTATTTTTTGCTTCTTGAAAATTACTTTTAAAATTTTTAATAATATTGTTTTCTTCAATTGCAGTTTCTGCTATATGTTGCTTCAAACTTGCTGCATATTATGCAATTCAATTTGTGACTTTAGCTATATTAAAAATGTTCTCAACTTGAATTTCACCTTTTCTAACAAGAATTTGAAGTTGTTCTACTATATCCTTTGCAGTCATTCAGTCTGTTTTATTCATATTACCTGCCAAAAAATAACTTTCAAAATAGGATTTTACTGTATTTGTCATTCATTTTCTTGCTCCTCTTTTTTTATATTTCTGATTACTTTTTAATGCCCAACCTTTATTTAATTCAAATGCTTCTTCTACATTTATATAACAATATTAAAAAATTAAAAATAGATTCAATTGTAATTTTCTATTATACTATACTGTATATATCTAATAATAAATAGGTTGGATTATTATATCATTTTTGTTTACTCATATCTAAATATTTGTATAATATGTAATCAATAGAATAATAAAAATAAAAAATAATTTTAATTCTTACTTTGACTCCAAGATAATAGAAAACTTCATGGATTTTTTGGAATTGAATAAGTAGTAATATTAGATGTTAGTTTATTAATAGGTGTTATTGTTAATTTTAATATTTCAAAAAGTAAGAACTGTGACTATAATCCAATATGTGATAAACTTTGAGCTTGTATATAGCTGGTATAATTATCATTAATTGGCTATTCAAAGTAAAACAATTAAGTAATACTAGCAATTGTTTTAATATTATAATTATTGTGTACAGGTTCTATATTTGCAACTAAAGTTCCTCTTAAATCAGATATTGCAGCTTGTATTTTTTCACCTTCATCTAAATTATGTTCAATATGAATATATTTTTTTATAGCATGTGTAATCTAATAAATCAAAATTATTTAGTAAAATATAATATATATATATATGTATATAGTTTGCTCTCTCTAATTACATCTTCTATAAGTGCATATTTTCTCCAAATGCATATTCAAATTAAGGCCCAAATATATACTTGATCTCTATTAATGCATTTTTTCTTATTATTCTCTAAATGCACATTGTTAAAGTATGGTTATAAGGATGTGCACCTAGAGAGGTCTAACTGTATATATAATTTTAGAACTTACTTGTGCATGATAAGAGTCAACAATTATTTTGGCCTCTTCAGGTTCAAGAAAATACCAACCTTGAACCTCAATATTATACTACTAATACCAGTTAGAAACTGTAATAATCAATTTAAAGTTATAATAGTATGCACCATTATCTGATAATATTTTAATCCATTGTAGTTTGAGGTTAAGAGTTTTGAAAATAGAATTAAATAATAAAAGAGTAAGCATGCATCTTGTTTAGTGTCAATACTCCAGTAATCAAATGCTTGAACATTAAGTTGATCAGTATCATATTTTGTAAATACTAAAATTATATATAAACTTCACATTTAATCTTTAAAGAATTGTTCTTTTGTCTCTTATGCACTCTTAGATAAAATATATATATTATAATCACATACTAAAATCACTTCATCATTGTTCAACTTTGCAAGCCTAGTTTAAATTAACTATTTAAATAGACCTTTCTTACCTGATGTGCTAAAAAGTAATATAATTTGTTCTAATATTCTTCAATAATTGGATAATATTTACTAAGATTTGTTATAAGATGTTGAACAAATCTAAACAGCTGATCACATATAGTATATCAATTAGTATGTTGTTCATGGCATTTGCCAAAAGCATAAAGTAAACAGTAATTGATTATGTCAATATTAGAGTTCAAAGCACAGGAGCATGGGGCATGCCTCTAAAGGCATGCCTCTAGGGCATGACTATAGGCATGCCTTAAGTCCAAAAGGCATGTCCTTGTTATGTGATGTTTAAAGTTATTTTAATTAGCTAATAAGTTCAAGTAAACTAGAACTGTAGATACTAAATCAACATGTAAAAATTTTAAACTATGTGTTAATTATATGATTTAAAAAGGGCATGCCCATGGGCATAAGAGGCATGCCTTAGCTTAGAGGCATGCTCAATTTTTTTATCATGCTCTGAACTCTAGTCAACATGCATTGTTGTACCATCCTGATTTACAATAATTTCTTTTTTAAATCCTCTTCTTAAATGAATATGTAGTTTTTCTAATTTTGTAATTAATTTATTTTGTATAATATAAAATTATAAATAAATTTTTATCTTTAAAAAAAATATGATACATATATAAAATACAGTTATCTTTTTTTCTTGACTCACAATGTTTAATTGAATTAAACTAATCAATGTATCAAAAACCTTATAAAAATATTTATTACAAATACTGCATAAACTTCCTAGATCATTTCAATAAACATATTGTCTATTTACCAATTATGCTATAAATGAAGTTCATTTGATTCTATCCAGATAAGTCACTTTATACTTTTTCCAGAGTGCTTCTTTATTGTCTTTTAGGTAAATAATTGAAAGATTGGTTTTGAATGAACTTTATAAAAGCTCAAGAAATGTTATCTTTATTTGCAAAAAATGCTTTGAACTTTCAATCTTTGACATCTGATATTTGACTTTGAGTTACTATTGGTTTGCTTAGAGCAATGCAATCAGCTTTATTAATTCTAAAGTATTTTTTTGTAGCATCTATCAAGTCATTTAAAATCTAAAAAATTTAGTTAATATTAGCAAAAATAGTTAATACTAAAGATTGTTATATCTTTTTTTGAACTTACTTTTAGTTTTTCTTGTATTTCATACCATTCAAAATTATTAGCAATTATTGATAATATTCTTTGTTTACCATTTACAGCATGCTTGTTCATTTTGATAGAAGTGTTAAAACAGCTCCAAAACTAATTGACTTTATTTTGAAGATCCTAGTTTATTATTGATAATTCTTTTTTTAATAGATTATATAGAACACTATTTAAAAGATTTTTGGTATATAAGTAAAATATTAATACACAATCACTTGACAGATCTTTTATGCAAGTTCAAAACTTAAGCTATTTTTTTTTTTATTTATTTATATAATATTATAGTAGAAACTTTAAAATACAATAAAAAATTTAATTACAGAAAAAAATTCCTAAAATAAAGATTTCTAAACTACAT